GTGCCTTGGAGAATAGTTTGACTCCCTCTTCTTTGTGGCAACCCCTGAGATATTGGAACACTGCTATCCTGTCACCCCTAGTCCTTTTTCCCCCATTAAACTACACATACCCAGTTCCTACAACCGTTCTTCACACAGTATGTTTTAGCCTCCAGTCCCCTAATCATCTTGGTCGCTCTTCTCTGCACTCTTTCCAGAGTCTCAACTTGTGCAAATGGAGCCTTGCGCATTCACGCGCTTGCCTGTTGGTTGTGCGACCCTGTTCCCAAAGGACCATGACCCGGTACTGGGCCCCAGATCAGAGGTTGGGGACCCTTGCTTTATGGGACAGAAGAACAGTATGGAATTTAAAGACACACACACACACACAAATTGGCTGCCCCGAGGGACCTCCAAAGTGGGCTGAGCCAGTTTGAGGACTTACATTTATCTGAAGACAAGCTAAATTAATGTAGTCCGCTAACATTTTCTGCCATCTTGGGAGGAACTTTGCAAGGCCTTCAACGCTGCCTAGTAAAGACAGCATCTTTGTTTCGCAACAACTCAAGATTCCGATGTTCTTCTTTTTTTTTTTCTTCATTATTATGGTTTGTCGCACAGTCAGCCAGGTGTTCAGGTTGGTTTTGGCTTCTTTTTTTTTTTTTTTTTTTGTACGTCTACCGAGTCCTTCCCTGGGACCTGGGATAGGCAGGTGTGGACGTTTGATGGTGTTAAAAGTGCAGGATGTAAATGGCTCTGAGCCAAACTACCTTTCGTAACTGACCGATGGTGATTTCGTCAATGCTAATGATGACCAAGGGATGCGCCAGTTCTGGGATTGCATCCATTATCAATGATGACGATGATTGTGGTGGTTGGTCACACTGTCATTTAGACCGTTAGACCAAATTTGGCATTTCTAGCCACCTATCCACCCTCCATGTTCTTCCCAAGGATGTGAGATAGGTAGATGCTGCCTGATGGTATTACAGCTATTTATTATTTATTAATATTATTATTATTATGAATCATCGCGCTGTCAATCAGATTTTCAGTTGGGTTTGGCATTTTTGTCTACCTATCGAGTCCTTACCAAGGACCTGGGATGGGCAAATCTGGATATTTGACAGTGTTACAGATATCCTCGCAGGATGGAAGCAGTCCCAAGGAAAGCTGCCATCTGCAATTGACTGATGGAGAATTTGTCAATGCCTGTGGTGTTCTATTATTATTATTATAAACCTTTATTCATTAAACATGAAACTCAGCCAACTGAACATTCAAAAATGCATCACAAATACCACTGATTGGTGCTAATGATTGATACGAGTTACTGCCAGCATCGTAGGTATCAACCAAGTATCTTCTTAAAATGTACGATGTTCAGAGTATCGCAGTTTTTTGTAGTTCCATTGGTGTTATTGCAGGAAGCTGCAATTTCTTGATGTAATAAAATTCTTGGACATGGTGCCAAGTTCCCCAATGGCAATGGGTATCATTGTTACATGTTTCATCCATAATTGCGTAGTTTTGATGGTCAGGTCATGGTATTTTGTGATTTTTTTTCCCCAGTTCTTTTTCTTCGACTAGCATCTCCTGGTACCGCGATGTCAATAAATTGTATTTTTCGGTTTTCAACAACTGTGATAGCTGGTGTGTTGTGTTCCAAATGACGATCCGTCTGTATTCGAAAGTCCCACAAGATCTTCACCTTCTCATTTTTGATAACTTTTCCACTCTATGTTCCCATGACTTTCTGGATAAAGGTAAATGGTATTTTTTTACATAAGGACCACTGGATTAATTTAGCAACTAGCTTTGTAATCAGTTTGTGCGATTTTCCTACATTCACATATTAAATGTGACACAGTTTCGACTATCGTTGTAAAGTTGGTATTTTGGATTGTCGATGGAATTTTGTATCTTTGCTTTCATGGTATTAGTTTGTAGTGCTTGTTCTTGAGCAGCTAGTATTAAACCACCTTCTTCTTCTTNCTTGTCCCAGCTTCTGCCAACCTAGCAGTTTGAAAGCATGTAAAAATGCAAGTAGAAAAATAGGAACCACCTTTGGTGGGAAGGTAACAGCCTTCCGTGCGCCTTCGGCATTTAGTCATGCCGGCCACATGATCATGAAGATGTCTTTGGACAGCGCTGGCTCTTTGGCTTTGAAAGGGAGATGAGCACCGCCCCCTAGAGTCGGGAATGTCTAGTACATATGTGCAAGGGGTTACCTTTACCTTATATATACATTTTATAAGGGGTGGGGTGGGGAATCCACAATGGTTCTGGAACATTCTTTTTGCAAAGGTTTAAAACTGGACAGTAGCAAATGTAATACACAACTGTTTGAACATTTAAAAATGCGACCACCTCACCATTTCCAAGAAAGCTGCGCTATCTACTTTATTACGCGATTTTGCCGAGTTTTAAGACAGTGAGTTTTTAAGCCACTTCAGATATTATTCTGTATAGCAAGCCAAATGGAACCGTTTTATATTGAAAGATGTTCCTTTCCAGGAAGAAGAATTAGTGCCGTAACAGAAGACGTATGTTCCCAACGAGAGGGGATTGGGGGTGGGGGGAGAGGGTGGGAGGGAACGCTCGGGAATCAGTTTGCCCTTCTTTTGAAAAGAAGACAAATGACATATGGAGCTACTGTTGACTTTGGCCAACTGGCCCAAATGGCACTGAAGACTGGAAACACCTTATTTACAAGATATTGGCATGGATTTCTAGGAGAAGTGAGTCAAGCATGTAATACTTTGTTTTTTAACCCAATGACTGGAAGGGCCTTCATGTTCCCAACTCAAGTCAGTCTGTTCGACCAACTCCGCCAAGGTCCCGCCCCAAATTCCTGGAGTTACACATGATGCACGACAAGGGTTGGAACTCTGCTCAGAGTCCGGAGCCACGGGGCTTCGATTCTGGCCTCATTCCTCAGGAGGAGGTCCTTCTTCCAGGTTCTTCTCAGGCCCCTTCTCTGTCTTGCCTTCGGATGGATGGCCGAATCCAGGATCTTCTGGCTGGATCCCATCTCCATCATAGATGATATCTTCTGGATTCGGAGGCGGGGGACAGAATTCTTCACTGGGGAACATTTCTTGGAAAATGGCTTCGGCCTGTTGGAAAACCAATATATTATTTTGGAAATCTTTTTTTTGGAGGGGGGGGGCTTCTTGGCAATCTTTCATTTTAGCTGGGTCCCCCCTCCTGTGTAATGTTGTTGTTTCATCAAATCAGAAATAGGTTAAAATAGTTCTCCAGGTTCTGGAGAACTGATAGCGGAAATTTTGAGTAGTTTGGAGAACTGGCAAATGCCACTTCTGGCTAGCTCCAGAGTGGAGAAGGAATGGAGATTTTACAGTAACCTTCCTCTGGGGGTGGGGTGTGAATGGAGATTTTACAGTAACCTTCCCCTGGGGGTGGGAATGGAGATTTTACAGTAACCTTCCCCTGGAGGGAGGAGGGAATGGAGATTTTGCAGTAATCTTCCTCTGGAGGGAGGAGGGAATGGAGATTTTGCAGTAATCTTCCTCTGGAGGGAGGAGGG